TGAACTCAGTGGCTCCTACCCTTCTATTAGAGAGCACTCCTTCCCATAGAGAATCAAGCAGTGAATATTTTAATAGGTCGTCATCATCAACAGTGGACACTGCAGGAAAATCTTGGCAGGAAAAAGAATCAAGGGTTTAATTGGAGAGGATTAAAGGTGTGTCAATGTTGTTTTATCTGACACCCTTTCAAATCAAAGTCTATGTCTGTTTGTAAGCAGTTTGTTTCTTGTCTAGTACCTCTGTTTTATCAGTGACTCAGAAATACATGAGTCTCCTATGGAGTATTAAGAGGGGCTTAATCTATGCATTGTAAAGATTTGTGCTAATGAGGTTTGAAGCAAAGAAAATCAGATTACTTATCTGTGCCACTACTTTGTCACTGACCCTGACAATTTAATGGTGATTTATTATTTCTGGCATGCCTTCCAGGCCTGTTAGCAGAATGCTTCAAGCAGAACTGCCCTGAAGTTTTTAGGAGTCCCTAGAGAACTGCACTGATAGCCATTTCCCCACATCCATATCATGTATCAGTCACAGACAGCATGGAGAAACACTCCTATAGCATTGCTGTCTAACTTGTGCCTTTCTTTTACTGCAGTTATTTTCTCAGTATGGCATTCAAATCTGTGTGCTTTATGTTTCGCCATGACACATGGGCCAACCTCACACACGTCCTGCAGCATTCTGGGCTTGACTTGGCAGGTTTCTGCTGAGCGTGCTAGTTCAGTGTTTGCTTCGTAATTAAGAATGTGTGGGTAGCCGTGTTCTTTTCAGAAGGGCATGCATGTGCTTAAAGTAAGTATGTGTTAGTACCTTGCAGCTTCCAGCCAAAATGGCAACGCTTGGGCAGAATTCAGTTCTAAACAAGCTGTTCTAAAAGACTTCTTCAGTACATACCAGCCAGCCAGATATTTGACATGTTACTGGGACATGGTGCTCCTTCAAAAATTTTCCAGAAAAAGAGAAAGAGCCAGCATTAGTCCTGGTGATGATTTGAGTCACTTGAGGTCACAAATTTGCCTGTCATTATTATGAAAGGATTAGTGTCCTAGATTTTTATCTCCTCAAAAGATCCTCATCCTGTTGTTGGTATGCTAGAGAGAAACGAGTTCTTACTCATGCTTCGTATATCTGCTTGGAGGGGTGGCAGACATGTTGTCATAGTTGTCATATCAGGCATCTTGCTAAGATGGTATATAGGGCCAAACCAGTGAGCTTACTTTGTGATAAACCACTGTCTGTCTCGACTGTGGTTTTGTCCCAGAATTGCTTCTGTGCATTTGCTATCTGACCTAAAGATACAGTTCTTTTAATTGCAGACGAGTGTTTTGGAAGTACTAGAAGCTTTGTGAGAGAGTGTGTCTTAGGACTTGTCTGCTTGTTGGTTTAGGCTAAAGGTGTGAAGCTCATGCATAAACTAAAAGCTTATTACATCTGCTATTCAATTTCTTTCTTCAGAAGGAAAATGGTTTTACTTTGTTGTATAGCAAACTTTACAGAATCACAGAATGTTAGAGATTGGAAGGGACCTCGAAAGATCATCTAGTCCAATCCCCCTGCCGGAGCAGGAACACCCAGATCAGATCACACAGGAACGCATCCAGGCGGGCTTTGAATGTCTCCAGAGAAGGAGACTCCACAACTTTACCTCTGAATGGGAGCATTACCCTGAAATCTGCATGTGCATTAACTTCACACCTCGAGTTAGTGACCTTAACTTTCCCAAGTGCTGCTGTGTAGACGAGATCTCGGGACAGATGATGTTCCCAGTGAAATAAAACTTGGTACAGCTGATACCAGTCACTTGTAAGCTGGGAGTAAAATGGAAAGAATCATAAATTCATCTGTGCCTTGCAGGCAGGATCATATGCTTTTCAACTGGCATAGCCAAAAATCTGTTTGTACATAGATATCATTCCTTCCCAGTGGTAGTCACTGAACAGATTCTTTTCTACGTGCCAATGGTCTATAAGAGAGCAGGTGTTTCTATATCTAACGTACTTCAGCTCTGAACCAAGGGCTGTTATTTTGACTTGGAATCAGGACACGTTCATTCCATAGTCTATGATCCTCATTGCTATAAATACACTTTTTTTTGTTGCTGTTATTCTTAGTGTTTTGCATTATTTTAAAGAAAAGACCACCATGATGGTCTTCTCTAATTCAAGTGACTTTCCATACTCTTACCTTTGTGGGGTTAATTATTTCCCCTTTTTAAAAAAGACTGATTACAAAAAATTGCATAGAATGTTCAGGACTGAATCTCATTCAGACAGGTGGGTGTCTTGGTATTGCTACTGAATACCTACAGAAAAGGTAAATTTAGGTATGTTTGGGGGACCTATCTGGTAAACTTAAATGCAGGGTTCAAAAAACAGACTTCTTAGTTGAGTTTGTGTATGGTTTGAATAATCCCAGTTTGAATATATAGGGAGAAACAGGTAGCATGTACATGCCTTATATCTTAACTGAAAAATCTGAAAGCACTTTAGGTAATTAAATTCTCTCAATCATCCCTGTGAGGTAGGGAAAAATAGATGATATCCAAGGGTTACATCACTTTCGGAAAAAATGTAGTTGCCTAAGGTATTCACAAGTTCAATTTATTTATTAAACTAGTACCCAGCCCCATTTGTGCTACATTTGAAGAACTCCCTGTACTACTGAAATGCCAGTGGAAAGGCTGGTGGTGAAGGAATGATGGGGTGAGGGAGATTATTCCCAAAATTAAGTTTCAGGATTTAACAGGCTAGGGCTTTCTGAACTTGGTGTCTATTATGAAGCCTCTGCTCATAAGGATCTTGGGGGCTACCTGTTCTTCTGGAACATTAGATGACGTGTAGTCACAGCTCTGCTTCCCCTTGCCCCTAATTCACCTTAGCAGCATATGTCTCTAAGGATTCAATTTCACCACATAGGGTGAGCAGAAATAGCAGCTTACTGTCATTGAAAGGGGGAAATACAGGTCCTTCATCT